TAATGGCTATTAAAGCTTTTTACTATTTGTAAAGTCCTAGCCACAGGTACAGCAGGCCCCAGCATTCTTATAAAAGTAAGTGTTCACACAGGATTGAAATTGTGGGCACTCCTTCCCCAGAGGTCTTCAAACGTAGAACAGTTTCTAGTCCAGATGTCCTAGCCACAAACTGTCTGAGGGCAGGAGAATGAACCACATCACCTCAAAATGTCATTCCACCTCGGGATTCTCAGCATCTGCTGATTCCCTCAGGTCATGTGTCAGAATAGAACAGCCAATGAAAGTTGTCTCCTTCTCTTCTAACTTTTGGCAGTTTTCCCTCCAAATGGAATTTAACAAGACACATAAGGGAGACGCTGGGATCTGACCAAACACCTGCTCTTGGTTTAACTTTTCCACCAAAAAGTGAGTCCTCCTGTTTTTGAGTTGACTTGTTTGGCTCAACTTCATGTTGCTTCTCTGTTTATTGAAAGACACTGAATCTTGGGTGGAATTGATTTCCGAGAGGACAGTGTTTCCTGATTTGTGATCACATGAGGCATTGGGCAGATTCTTCCTTTGAGCATGGTAGTGCTCTTTTCCTGTGACCTATCCAAAAGGAGAACTGTTATTGTCTTGGGTGTGAAGGCTTAGTCTTCCTCCCAGAAAGGTGAGAAACCAGGGAGCATGACAGAGGAGGCACCTGCAGTTGGAGATTTTTTGGAGAAAAAAATAGCCCAATAATCCCACCACTCCCTCTTGTAGCACAGTCTCCTTGTGTGGCCTTTTAATGGCTTGAAGAAGCTATTTTGCTGGTGACCATACAGACAACAGTCTCCAAAAGTGAAGTGTGTGTGTGTTGGGGGGCTGGGAATGGAAGACAATAATGGAATTTTAGAGTCTGATGGGGAGCAGTAGTCTTTCACCTCAACCTCCCACTGAGTGAGGAATCTTACAGCACCTTGCAGACGGCCATGGTGCTCACTCTGATTAATAGGCTACCTCCTGAGAAAGCCTATTCTGTGCTCCATCAGATCAGGCACGTCTTTGGGAAATGAGCTTGTTTTGTGGTGAAATGTTTCTCTTCTAAATTGCACTCCCTGATTTTCTGTCATTTTACAGGATTCTGGGTCAAGTCTGTTTTCTTTCACTTAGCAGTCCTTTGACTATCTGAAGAAAGTCCTTGTGACTCTCTTTAATTTTCTTCTATGAATTAAATCTCCCAATTTCCTTCAGCCATCCTTGAAGAACAGGTATTCCAGACACAGAATGCCCTTCTACTGTACACACTGCAGTTCTCTAGAAGTTTCCCTTCTCCTATCCTATAGGGTCTAGGGCGCCCGCCTTTTGTCTAGTTCTTAGAATGAGAACTGTGTTATTGTATCAAGAGCTGAGACTTGAGTGGTGAGTCTTATGATTGGTTCACTCACTGAGATGAGCAACAGGAACCTTCATGTGGACCTGGATGCCTGGACAATGCCTGATTAGTGGAACCAAGAGAACTTCCTGTGCAATACCTGATATACCTGAACCCTGAGTTCACATGGAGAGACTCTTTCAGAGATTCAAATATTTCCAGCCCTGAGGACAATTCTAAGAGATGAGAATTACCCCATGTTCTCTGCCAGTCAAAAAAGTTTGCTGGCATCTCCCTAATCCTGAAACTCCAGGCCCAGATGCCCAACTGGTGGCTTGAATGGTGCACTGATTTGCTCTATATCCTCTTCCTGGTTCCTCCAGACAGAAGCAATCACAGGTTCCCCTGCTCCCAGAGCTTTTCATCCTCTGCTGAGCTTATATGGCTTCAGGCTGCAGCAAGGAATTAGCAGACACAGAACACAGAATCTGGCCCCAGAGGCTTATAAAAGGAAGAAGGAGACACCAAAGGCTGAAATCACTTCCTAGCATTTCCTTTCATCCTTTCCCATAGAGTCCCCTGCACCAAAACCACACCCTTCCTGAGAGACGCCCACCCCAGAACCCTGAGGGCTCTTGCTCTTATTAGTAGTTACTGAGCAGAGTGCTGGATGTGGCACTGAATGTGTATATGACAGTCTCTGCCCAGCAGCTTATAGCCCAAGATGGCACAGCATAGGCTCAGAGCCACCGAGGTCTAGGATGGGGGAGGTGTTAAGTTAGCAGTAGTTTATAGGAGAGGAACAGGCTCAGAGAAGCAAGTGAAGGGCCCAAAGTTCCACAGTGAAGTAGTAGCAGGATTAGGGCTGGAATCCAGCTCTGTTGACTTGCAGTCCAAAACCCTCTTTAATACAATATATACAAAATCACATGTGTGTGCCTGTATTTATACTTATGTAAGTATGTATGTGTATGCACAGGAATATGACACTTACATTTGTAGAAGGCCTCACTTTACTCATATGCTCTAATTTGCTTCTCACAATAACCCAACCTGACAGGTAAGGGAGCTGAGGTTTGTCACACAGATAAAATGGAAGCAACTGGATTCCTTTCCAGGCCTTCCTTTTCTTCTTTTAAAGACTGGCACCTGAGCTAACAATTGTTGCCAATCTTCTTTTTCTTTTTCTGCTTTTTCTCCCCAAACCCTCCCAATACACAGTTATATATTTTAGTTGTGGGTCCTTCTAGACGAGGCATGTGGGCTGCCGCCTCAGCGTGGCCTGATGAGTAGTGCCACGTCCGCGCCCAGGATCCGAGCCAGCAAAACCCTGGGCCACCGAAGTGGAGCATGTGAACTTAACCACTCAGCCACGGGGCTGGCCCCATATCCAGGCCTTCTGATTCCAGCACCCTCTTCTTCCAATCGCATGACATTGTTATTTGATCTCAGCGGATGTTACCAAATCCCTCTTCAGGACCCCTGTGGAATGAAATTCTTTTTCCTTGTCTCTCTCCAACATTCTCAGCAAAGCCATAACAACTCCTCACCAATATGGTGACAAGGCGAGGTACAAGACAGCATAAGTGGAACATACAACATATTGGTGGCCAGTGAGAGTCACTTCAGTCACTCTTAAGGACAGAGGCCAAGGTGTGGTCAGGGGAGTAATCCTGGAGGAAGGGGCGTAAAGATGGGTAAATAGGGTTGAGGCTTTTGCCTTTGGTTGGTGGGGAAACAGGCTCATAAAATGCTACCACCCTGTGACTACCATCTCCTCATGTTTCATGGTTTTGCATTTATGCAATTCCTATGTCTTTTTACCATAATCTTAACAAATGTCTTATCAACACATTATCTTAAAAATATGAGAAGACTCTGCTTTTGAAGAAAAGTCTTAGAGGAGCCATCGTTCTCCTCTTCTTCCCCAACTGGCTAGAGTTCTGAGTTGAGAAAAAGGAAGGCAGTGAGTATTATGTGTCAGCAACTTTATACAGGTTACTTCATTTACTTCTCTCCACATGAGAGGTTTTACAGACGAGGAAACTGAGGCTCATAGAGATTATGCAACTTGCCTAAGGACACAGAGCCAGCAGTGGCAGAGCAGAGACTGACCCCTCGGCCTGTTAGACTAAGGCATTTAGCCAGTTCCTTCTACGCACTACATGTGGTCTTCCTGACACTGGGCAGGCTCAGATCCTTATCTTTTTGGCTCCAGAGGCCCCTGAGCTGTTACAATCACTGCTGAGGAGTCAGCCCCTTTGCCAGAAATGATTTTGCAGGTCGTTACAGAATGACAATGGGAGACCTAAACATATTCATGTTCCTCAGAAAATCAGACCCAGCGTGATAATTTTAGAGGTGGAAGAGCTATAAATTACCAAAGATATAGCAACTCTCGAATTTTGCAGTTGAAGAAACTGAGGCCTAGGGATTAGGATTAAAGGATTTGCCTGGGTCATATGATTATTTAGTGAGCCAAAACCTAGTCTCCTGCCTAAAATGAAAACCAGGAATTCAGCACACCAGTCATGAACTACTGGGAGGTGGAGAGAGAGGGGATAAAATACTCCAGAGAGTTCTGCCGATATAGGTAAAACTGAGAGGAAAGAAAAGTAGAAGCAATGTACATGTAGCCAGAAAAAAAGAGCTAGTATGTGAACCAAGACTGAAGATACAGATGTGGGTGGGCTAAAGAGATGCAATAAGTGACTTCCCAGATTGTGTTTTGCTCCCATTGTACATACAGTTGGAAGCCAAATGCAAGCCACCAAGGTTGCAGTGAAACAGTGAACAATTATAGCGCAAATAGTTGTGGGCAGCTGTGGGAGTGCAAGCCACCTGCTCCAAGTTTATGGCTTTGGTAAACTTGGTAAACATTAAAGATGGAATGGGAATGTTCCCAGTCCGTACCATATCCTGGGAGGCCTTGCTCAGGAGCTGGAGTGGACTTGCCCTTGACTAGGCCCTTCACACCATGGCCTAGAGCTGCTTGCTGTTGGTAGAGGCCAGTGTTGTCAATAGTCTCTAGTAGAGACTGAGGGAGGTGGAGAGTATCACAGAATCATATATTTATAGAGTTTGAAGGGACTACAGAGCCCCCAGAATATAATTTCTCTCCTAATATTCAAGTATGGAAAGTGAGATCCAGAGAGGCGATGTGCCCAAAGTTATAAAGCTAGGGGCAGAACTGACTCTTGATCTCTGAACTTTTGACACTTTATCCAGTGTTCCTTCCTCTAAGCCCCACGAGGTTTGTGAATGATGACAGAGAGTTATAGAATTATAGAATTACAGCTGGAAGGGACATGGTTCTCAACTACCAGTGTTTTTGGTTGTCACGTGACTAGGGGGGTGCTATTGGCACTCAGTGGGCCGGGATCAAGGGTGCTAAATAGCCTGAAATGTGATCAACCTGCATAATGAAGAATTGTCTTGCCCAGATACCAAGAGTGCTCTTGTTGAGAAATATTTTGTCCACCATTTGACTTTACAGTTGAGGAATCTAAGCCTAGAGACAGGGAGCAGGCCCTGACTCCATCCCACTGAGGCCCCGAGTGAATCAGCAGTAACCTTGGTGCCTTCAGGATGGGGCAACTCCAGCTCCCTCCCTGCCCGGCTCCTGCTGCACTTGCTCCTGAGCTGTTTCCAGGTCGGCACTTACTTGGACTTCAGGCCCTCCTGTCCATAGGGCTGCAGCAGATACTGGTGCACGAGCTTGTCCCTGAGAGTTCCAGCCAGTTTAATTTTCTTTCTTGATCGGTGCAGGTTGATGATAAAAAGTGTAATGGACCCTCGAACATAGTTGTGGCTGAGATCCAGACCGAGAGAGAAGGGAAAGATGGAAACAAAGTGGTCAGTTAGCTGCTTCTGCGTAATTTATAGACTGCATGAAACAGGATTACCTCAGGAAAGGGCACTTACTTTATGGTTCTTGGCCACTCTAGACCTTCAATGGCAGGAAGACCCTGTTTTTGTGGTTTCCTGCAAAGAGGATACCCACTTCCCACCACACTCCTTTTGTTTTTGTTTAAATGTATTGAAATGATTTTTAGAAAACAAAATATCTTTTTCCTGAGTATGGAAGTAAAACATGCTGATTGCAGGAAAAAAAGGAAAAATATAGAGAAACACAAAGAAGAAAAATAAAATTCCCATAATCCTACTATCTTCAGATATGATAATATTTTGGTAGACATCCTTCCAGTATTTTTTATTTTATTAATTTGACAAATATTTATCAAGTATTTTGACATGTACATATATATTACTCAGTTTTTAGATACTTACACACTGTTCACACAGTTTTTTCAGTTCATGAACATCTTAGACATGTTCCCATGTTATTATATATTCTTCTACTTGTAGAAGAATGCTAAATTCTTCAATCAGAAATGTAACATAATTTATTTAACTAACCCCTTTCTTTTGGGAACTTAGGTTGTTTTCAGTTTTTTTTGCCAGTATAAATTATGCGATGGACTTCACATTGTACCTAAACTTTTTGTACATCACGATTATTTCTGATGAATAAAGTCCCGGAAGTTGGAAACATCAGGTCAAAGGGAACACATGCACATGGCATGATTCCTCACCAAATCTTCCAGTTCATTCCCAGTGCTGCCCCTGGCTGTGGGAAGACTTTACGTCCTGGCTCTGTTGAAACCTTCTGTGATCGCACGATTGGCTTTTGCCAGTGAATTGTGGGTTGGCATGTTAAAACCTCTGGGCAGAAGCTTTAAGAGGCAGCTCAGGTTTTGTCACCTCTCTTCTCCCTCTGCCAGAAGAGGGTGCTCTAGTGATCTGCATCCTGGAATGAAGAGGATGTTGAGTACAGCTACCGCAGAGCCATAACAGATGTGGAGTGTCAACAAGAAATACATTTTCTTATTGAAAGCCATGGAGATCTGGAGTTCTTTGTTATCACAGCATAACCTCTCCTATCTTGACTGATACACACATTTTGATAATATTGATATTAACTCTCTAGAAAGCTTGTACTAATTTGCTCTGATCAGCTATGTATAACAGCACCTGTTTCCTCATACCCTTAAGAACACTGGACATTAACCTTTTAAAATATCTTTCTTAACCTGAGAGGTGCTAATGGCATTTCAATGTTGTATTAATTTGTATTTTGAAAAAATTCATATTGAGGTGCATTTTTTCATTTGCTTGTTTGCCATTTCATTTCTTCTTTTGTAAACTGATTGTTCATGTCTTTACCCATTTTTCTATTGATTTATAAAAACTATTTATTTATTGAAGATAGTGATCCTTTGTCTGCATGTATGTTGCACAATTTCCCCCAGTTTCCTTTGACCAATTCAGTTTATTTATGCTGTATTCTGATGTAATAAAAGTCAAAAACTTTTACATGGTCAAATTTATCAATCTTTTTGATTTCTGCTTTGTTTTACCTACTACAGATTATTAAAACTATTTTTGGAATATTACTAAGACTATTTTTGGAATCCTTTTAAACCAGCACAGAATGTTCAGAAGCCTGGAAGAACTATATGCCTACATGCAAGAGCCTTTCGGCATGTATCAACAAAACTATAATGATTGCCTTCTCTCTCATAGGAAAAAAGACTTTGTTTCTAAGGGGTCCCATAGGGCCCCATCTGGATGGGTTAATGAGAGGAAACAAAAAATGACCCGGTCCTGCCTTCAAAGGAGGAGTTCAGAGAAACTCCAAGTCAACTTTGCCCAGAGGAAAGCAACATTCCTTGCAGACACAGCACCCCTCAGCCTCTGGGTCACTCATCTCTGCCTCTAAAGGTGCTAATTAAGAGTTGAGTGAATAAGGGCAGGTCAATATGATAACTTGGGTTGTTTGTTCATTTTTTAAAATAATACCATTTCCAGGGCTCATCCCTTGGAGATTTTGATTCAATCCATTTGGAATTGGGCCCTGGCAATCTGTATTTTTAAACACATCTTCCTGGGATATCTGGCAGAAGAGATGGGTTTGGGAACCACTTGCCTAGAGCAATCCATTAAGGTTATGAGAAGAATTCCCAAAGTATATCTGCTGGTTGTGTCAGATGATTTTTCTTGCATCTGTAGGAGGGCACATTATTGTGTTCAAAGTTCTTCAGATGCCTGCATTTATATTCTGAAAAATTATTAAATGACTCTTCTATCTGGTCCCTCCTCCTCCAGTCCTTCTTCTCAATACCCTGCAGCATGTGAACTAGCTTTTGGAGCCGAATAAGTTAGGCCAGAAGAGAATGCCCATTTATTTGGTCAGAATTGTATCACCAGAGACCTGAACAAAGATGCAGCTAGCCTGTGTCAGCGTTTACTATCATTGACTATACTCCATCGGTGGGCTTTAAGCTTAGCTTAGCTGTGTGCAACATTGAAGAAGACCCCATTATCTACAGGTACTCTGGGCTCAGAGTGTGAGCAAAAGTGGGCGTGGATGGATACTAGTTTTACCAGGCTGCAGTAAGCCCTTTAGCTAACCACCATCAAACAACCTTCTCAAAGGCCAGCAGTGGAGGAGGAGATAGCCGCATGCTTGCATTTATGAGTTTCTCCTCTGCAAAGCTGGGGCAGAATGAGCCCTCAGAGACCGCAGAGAAGGGTGGGATGTGGAGAAGTGGTGGGTTGGGGGGAGACCTGAAATCACAGCATTGCTGCAGGGAAAGTGTCTTTTCAAGCCGCTTGGTAATGGTCTGATTTCCATTTACATAGTTCCCGTGGGGGGAGACAGACCAGTACCGAAAGCCAGCCCAGAGACCGGCATGCAGAGACTCTCACAAAACTCCTGGCACCTGCCCAGGTAGGAACTGGCATTGAAGACTGCCTCAGCCATTCCTTTCCCTGCTTGGCTGATGGGCAAGGACATTATACAGAGGCCTCTTGGCTACGAAGCCACATTCTTGGCTGGGGAGTGCAGCACCAACCTGAAAGTACTCTGAGAATCCAGATTCCTGAAGAATGTATTTTCTCTGCCCATAGAAAAATAATCTTGGAGGAGTATCTGAAAACAGGGTCTGAAGGCATGGCCTGCAAGCAATTGCTGACCTTTTGATGTCATCAAGTCCAGGTGGCTTTTGGCTCTTTCAGTGAATGCCCCTTTCCTCTGGTAGAACATCTATCTTGCTCCATGTCTCACTCATGGTGAGACTTTTTCGCCAGCAGAGAATCCGTGAATCTGGAGTTCATCTTTCTGGCTGTTCTTTTGCTGCCTGACATCTTTCCTCTCTGTGTTGCCACGGGAAGAGGAGGAAGTGAGTCAGGGAAAGGAGGCTGGAGCTGAAATATCCTGGGTGTAAGAGGTGGAGGGTATAGGGAGGTATATCTTGACTTCCAGATAAAACATAGTCACTGTTCTAGAAATGTCTCCAGTGAAGCTGAGAGACTAGGAAAGGAAAGGGAGGATGATGTTTTAGAATCCTTGGTTATTCCCAGTGAAAGCCAATGTGCTTGAAAACTGGGTTGGTCCATTGTCTCCAAATCTAATTCAAAGTTTTTGGGTTCGGTAAAAGTCAGACCATGTTTTGCCAAACATTTTTTCTCTTAATTTCAAAGCCCCTGTGTATTTTAAGGGAAATTTAATCCACATGTTTCTGATTCATTTACACTTAACTCATCAAAATATTGTTTTGTAAGAGTCATTTGATGTCCAAGAAGCCTCAGGAACCTTTTTTATGAGTCTTTAAAAAAAACCTCTTCTGAAAAACAGGAAGTTGTGTTTTGCCAATAATAAACGAACTTGAACCCCAAAAGGCCCAATTTTGCTTCAATATCCACCAGGGTCCAAATGGTTTTGAACTTGGCTGAGGACCTCAGCTCCTCCCCAGAAACATATATTGTCTCAGCATAACAGTTTATAAAAAGAAGATTTCCCAGTCAAAACTTCTTTGTTCTCTGAACAAGAAGATCCAGGGTAAGAACTGCCATGCTGCTAGCGTCTTAATTTGTTAACTCTAGAACAGAAAGCGGAAAAGCACCTGCTGGTTTTGGTATGAGGATCTAACTTCGTTTCCTAAATCATTTATAAAATACAACAACACTCTACTAGGTTAGAAACAACCCATAATGCAAGAGACTGCCACAAGAGACAGTGAGGTATTCCAGTAGAGGTTGCACGACTGTCAGGGATGGTAAAAGGAATTTCTGTGTTGTATAGGACACTGGGCCAAAAGATGTCTAAGAGTTCTTTCCAAATGTAAAATTCTTTGCATTATTAATGTAGTTATTTGTATATAGGGTGATACCATAGAACCTTCGGAATTCAATATGATAACATAAATGCAAATATTGGGCAAGATGCTTGTCACACAGCAAGTGTGCAGTACACTGGAGTGTAGGAGTTGTTTTAATAGACATTTTCTTTGGGTTATTCTACTGTAAGTTTATACTTTCTCACCCAATCCCTGTTTTGACCAAAGATATATGTTTTCAGAGTATTGGTCAGAATAGCATGAACCCAACATGCCCACTCTGGGACATTTCTGTGACCTTGGCCTCATTGGCCACAAATAAACACTAAGTTACAGTAGTGCTTCCTCATGACTGTTGGGGAGGATGAGGGGGCACAGATTGGGCTCATGGCTTCCCTGAGAGGAGGAGCAGAGACACTTCTCCTATCCTTGTACCTACCCATCTGGGGCACCTGACATGCACTGACAGGGAGGAGCCAGCTCAGTGCATCCATTGTGGGCTGTCTTTGCTAATAGGAACAAAAACACCTTCACTCTAATTATTATCATTAAAGTCATGTGTGGAATGAATTAGTAAAGTCTCTTTCTTTTTTTTAATGGGAGAAGGAGGGATGGTACTGATAGAAGCACAGTGGCACCATTTCCCTAGAGAGGTTCTGGAGTGACTTCTCAAAGAAAGCAGAGGAGAGCTGGTGATGTACAGAGAATGTTGAATGCAGATTATTTTACTTTACTTGTTTAAGGTCTCATGCTAGTGAATGCTAGAGTTCTTAATCACTCAGCCCCACCCCTTCCTTCTGGCTGCTGTGGCGATATGTGAGGGGAAGAGGACTAGAACTGTAAATCACCAGTGATGTCTTGATGCCCTATCTCTGCATCCATTCATTCACTCACTCATCAAAAATTCACTGAGACCTTCTTCATGCCAGTCACTATACTAGCCATCAAGAATACAAAAATGAATGAGACACTGGCTTTGAGTTCATGGTATACTCAGAATATTAGTGATAACTTCCCACATGTCAAAGAATGTCAGGATGAACACTGTGGCGAGACTATATGAGGAGCCCACTGTGAGGACACCCAAATCCTGCTAAGCCCATGGCGACTGACATTTTTTCCCTGGGTCCTCAGACCCATAGTACAAAGGTCACAAACTGATGTTCTTCCCGACATAGACACAAGGTGCCAAGAGTAATTTTTCTCTCTTGAAGTTGGGGGTCCACCTTTTGGGTGGTTACCTCAAGGACAGGGCGGAGACAAGGAATACAACGTTTCCTTGTGTGGTGATCAGATAACTCCAGCCAAGGCCATAAAGCAGTCACTCTCTGTCAGGTATTGGATTGAGCTTCCTGTTGAGCAAAAGGGATGTTGAAAGCCTCTGGCTTCTGCCCAAACCAGCCTCCTCTCATCCACAATAGGCACTTGTATCTACAGACAAGACAACTGGGTCCTGGCCCCCCTATGCTCAGAGTGATTCTTTGAAAAATCTTATCATGATAAATTAATTGGCTTGGCTCCTCTCTCATCAAGGAAGGGGAATGGGCGTCTGCTGTAACCTGACCACCGGAGCTCTTTGTGCTCTTTGCTGCCCAGGATCAGCCCCTGATAGGCCACTGGAATGAAGGCCTGGCTGGAGGCGCTTGTTTCCTTCTCCTCACCTCCTCCCCCCAGGGTTTCTCCACATTTAGAGAAAGAGTTCTCTTTTCCAGGGCTGCCTACTCTGCTCCTTAAACAGGAAGTGATGTAAGAAAGCCATATTTGGTCAGAAGAGTTTTGCTTTATACTCAGTTTTAAGTTTTTACTTTATGATCCTCATGTTTTAAAATATTTTATCTGCCAAACTTTATTTACTGATGATTATTTTTCCTACTTGTTTAATGACAATTCTAATGACAACCAGTGCTTCAGATCAAAAAGAGAAGAATAACCATACATCACCATGCGGATTATTCTAAGTCCAGCCTCCCAAAAAAAGAAGCCTAGATTTCACTTAACCTCTTAACCTTTAAAACAGCTGAAAGGTTTTTTGAAATACTGAAAATGGCTCTAAGCTGGCACGACTACCTTTGGGCACTCCCCGCGTGGGAGGCACTGGTCTTGGGCTAGGTTTCTTGTGGCACATCTCTCCAGCATGCGTCTCAGAAATGCAGACTTATTTCCTCAAGCTCTGCTGGCGGAGCGTAGGGACAGATTTAATATCTCTAGCCTTGGTTCAGGCATAGGCACACAGAAAACCTCGTGGGCATTATGTCAACTGGCACAGAGAAAATGCTCAATAAAAATTTGTTGAATGAAGAAGCAAATGAACAAATGGCATGTATTTTTATGAATCTTTTATGAACAAATACTGTGAGTGTGAGAAAAGGAGTTTACTTGGAGAACAAGCTATTTATCAGAGATCATTTGAAACCTGCAAAGAGCAGGTACAGTGATTCCAGAAGCAGTTTTCAACAAGTCTTGAAGGGGTCCCAAATGGTATGGAATTCTAAGAGGGGCCGGAAGCCTGCAGCCCCTTGGGGTGGCTTTCTGTGCTGTCTCTCTGAAGACTTACTTGTGGTGGTTTGTGCAGTGAGCGTAAATCCTTAGTTTGTCCCGGATGACTCGGCCTGGCCGTGGCTTCCGCTGGAGCCCAGCCACGTGCACCGCCAAGACTTTGGGGCCGATCAGGCGTTTGTATAGGAGAGATAGCCAGTAGTCCTGAGCAGAACAGAGAGGAAGAGTCAGAGAAAGACACATGTTCAGATGCTGTGCTCTGAGTAAACACACAAAATAGGCCAGAAACCACTTCTTACCAGGAGTACAGGGAATAATGACCAATGAGACCCTAACCCTGTAAGCATGGTCACCCCCATGAAGCACTCATCTTGGGTTGATAATGAAGTGGGCACTGTCTAAAATTGCCTTTTCAATTGACCAAATGGGAAAATGTAAGTAGTGTGGACCCAGAGCAGTATACAAGCAGATGAATGACAGTTTTTCACAGATGAAATAACGAGTTGGGACCTTAAATTTCCAACTTTCTTTTCCCATGATTTTACTTCCTTACTGGTTTATGATTTCTGTTTAATTGTACAATGGAAGATTTCCAATCTTTAGGATTGTCACCAATATGAGAATCCAAAATGTCATTCTCCAAATATTGTCACTAAAGATCATTAGTGTGATGGGAGGGAGATGAAGCTCCTCCAGGCAGGAGACCAGAGTCCTGGATTCCAGAGTTAGAAACTCAAACAGAAGAACGTTTGCAAACCATGGTGCTAATTCTTGGTCATCCTCAATAATTCTAAAATAAAAGGAATAATTCTAAATTAAAAAGAATGTGATGCTTTTAACCATTCCAGGGTCCATTTGTAACTGATTAATACATATTCAATCTGTAACCCACATATGCATTTGAATTTATAAAAGCCTGTTCACCAGCACCTTAATTTGTATTGTTTTTGCTATTATCATATTTTTGGTTTTGTATTTGATACAAACATAAAATTTGCACTTGTATTGTGTAAGTTTTTAATCACCTGTAATGGGTAACGACCACAGTGTTTATAACTCACCATGTAAAATAGGGCCTCCTAATTTGTTTAGGGGCTTCTCCTCCTCTTCCCCTCCCCAGTTCTGGAAGTCAGTGAACATGCTACTCAGTGCTTGCTACTTAAAGTCTTAAAGACATCAACCATGTCTTCTTAGCCTTCATCTTTCCAGGCAGAAGCCTCTGAATGATCTTTTTTTTAACTTGGGTGGCCATCTATAACATCAGCTGCTTAAAAATGTCTGCTGAATTGCGTAAATCTGAACACAGTCTCAAAGCCTCTTTGCCACCAGCATAGCTCCACATCTGCCCTGAGCAGTGGGCTCCAGGCCTTGCCCAAGCACTTGCTTTAACTAACTTTAAGTGGCCTTAGCGTGGCTGTTAAATATGGTCTCCTGATGTTTTAAAGTGGCAAATATTTAATCATAGTAGATAACATAGAGGAGAAAAACATCTCATTGTTTTAATTTGCTCTAATTTGATTACAATTTCTGTGTCCTTGATTATTATTTATGAAGTGATCATCAGTCACCCATATTTCCAATGTCATGTCCACCTTTTTCTTACTGATTTGTACTATATCTTTTAATGTTAGTGGTAAGAATCCTTTGGAATATATGTGGAACAAATATTCTGTCCAAGTTGGTAGTTTGCCTTTTATCACTTTTTATGATTTTTTTTGGTTAAATATGGTCTCCTGATGTTTAAATTTTTTTTTAATTTTGAAAATTTTTACAGGAAAATATATCAATCTTTTTCTTTTGGTTTCTTCCTTTTCTTTTATTCTTAGAAAGTTCTTCCTTGCACAAGGAACAGATAACTCTTCACTTATATTTCTTCTAGTTCTTTTTATATTGCCATTTTAAAATTTAATCTTTTAATTCATTGAAAAATATTTTGCTGTATGATACTATTATTTTCTAAATAATTTACTAGTTGTTGTAGTGAACAACCTATCCCTAAGGCCCTCTTTATCACATACAAAGTTTTATATACATATAAATATGTAAAAAGATATGTATATAATATATATAATTAATATATAATATATAAATAACATATATTATATAATTATATTTAATATATATTCTATATTTATAATACACGTGTATATATGTATGTGAATATATAAATATATGATTATAATATACATTATATGCTATGTAATATATAATGTATTATAAAATATATGCATATATTTATGTATGCATATCTATAAATATGTAATTATAATACATAATATTATATATTATAATCATTATATAGTTATAATTATAAAATTATAAAAATGTTTGTAATAAATATATATTTGTAATTATAAAACATAATTATAATACATAATATAATATATATAATACATATATAAATATATCATATATTTGATATTTTATGATATGCATATCATGACACACTGATAAGAAATTTTATGTATAATTCTGTGTTTGGATTTTCTATTCTCTTCCACTGAACTCTCCTTTCTTTTTATTGGTTTCACATCATTTTAATTATTATAAGTTACATTTTAATATCTAGAGGTTTAAATCCATTTTGATTTAATTTTCTTTCTTTGTTCAAACTTTCCTTAATTACTCACATCCATTTATTTTTCCAAATAAACTTGGAAATCATTTTTTGTAGTGTTCATTATTGCAGAGAAGTTTTAGGCTAGCATGAATTTTATTCTGTGTTTGCTTAGCCCGTTTAGTTTCTCTTTTGTGTTCTAGCAGGACGCTTCTGGAGTCACATTTTATCCTTGATATTTGAGCTTTTACCAAAAACGTGTCAATATGGGTTTCTGCATTAATTTGTGGTATTTGGGGAATACTTTTGATCAGAAAGACTAAAGTCTGTCTTCAACCTGTGAGAATTTTCTTTAAATATAGCTTTGAGTTCTTATTTCCTTTCTTCTGCTCCACTCTGTTTCAAGAGTCTGTTTGTTAGCTCTGCATCCTCAGTTCTGTGCATCTATCTCTTCTCATTCTTTCTTAATCTTTTTTTTTTCTCTCTGCAAGAGGATGTCCTCTGCACGGCATATCTGTTTTCTCCATGATCATTTCTGTCATTTACTAAGTCTGATGAGTATTTTAATTGTTTTTACAATTTTAGTTTCCTTGTAATCTTTTCTGGTCTCATTTAACTTACCTGATTGTTTGGCACTCAAACTTTTTTTCTTCCATTATATGTGTACTATATATATGTTTTCCATAGACAGGAGAATGTATATAACTTACATGACAGTTCTGAAGCAAATGAGAAACTATCATCCACCTTAAAGCTACCAAAATACTCACTGTTGCATCTAGTTATTCCCATTTTTGTGTTTTTCATTCCCTTGCTTCATATCTTAGTTTTATCCATATATTTGCTCCTAAGCAATGTATTATTTAATTTTTTAGTTTTGTATAAGTGGTATCATGCTGTATGTAATTTTCTGTAAATCTCCTTTTTTCACTTAACATTATGCTTCTAAGATTCATACAGGTTGTTACATGTACTTATAGTTCATTCATTTTCAATACTGTATGATACTTCATTGAGTAAACACACTACAATTTATTTATCCATTCTTCTGCTGATAGATATTTGTGTCCAGATTTTTGCTATTATGAACAATGTGGCTTTGAACATTCTTGTTCCTGTTTCCCAAGACACAGCTGAAGAAATCTGGAGAAGCAGTACTCCCACTGTGATAAGAAGCCAGCAGCAGTCTCAGCACCTGGGTGCTTCTTAGAAATGCAAATTCATCGACTTTATCCAGACCTATCGAATCAGAATCTCCAGGGGTGGGGCCCTCAAATTGTGTGGCTCACCAGGTGATTTTGATGCTCGTTAGAATTAGAGAAGCACTGTTCTAGAGTAGAAACCTAAAATGGAATTGCTGTCATATACAGGTATACAAATATTCAACTTTATAGGATAATACCAAACTCTTTTCCAGAGTGATTCCAATTATCACAAGGTACACTTTCTCTAGCAGTGTCTGTATGAGTTCCCTTTGATCCACATCTTTGCCAACACCTGTTATTTTCAGACTTTTTAATTTTTGCCAATCTAGTGGGCATACAATGCCTAGTTCTTTTGTATGTTAAGAAGTCCTTCCTCATGTCTAGTTCATAAAGATAATTTATATTTTCTTTTAACACTTTTAACATTTTTTTTCTTTCATAGTTAAGTCTTTAATCAATCTAGAAGTGATCTGGGAGTATGGTGTGGGGTAGGTATCTAATTTCATATTTTTCCATATGGATAGGTAATTATGCCAGCATCATTTATTAAATAGTCTCTCCTTGTTTTAGTGATCTGCAATGTCCTCTGTGTCATACATCAAACCTCCATATATTCATGGGATTGTTTCTGGGCTCTCTATTCTGTCCTGTTTTACTGTCCTGTGCCAATACCACATTGTTTTAATCACTATTGTTTTATATATGTCTTGAAATCTGGTAGAGCAAGTCCCCCTATCTTATTCTTCAGTAATGGCTTTGCTAATCCTGGACCTTTGCTCAATCATTGGTGTTTCAGAATCAGATTATCTAGTATCGAAATGAAATATTCTAGGACTTTAGAATTTCATTTAGAATTGAATTTAGAATTTAGAAATGAATTTATAGCTCAAATGAGGAGAATTTACATTTTTATGATATTGAGTCTTTTTACCTGTAAATATGAAAGGAATTGAAAAATAAACTCCTTCTAGTCAGGGAATCTTTCTTCCATCCCTTCCTTCCCTCCCAAAACCCTCCCTCACCCCAGTACATAGTTGTGTATTCTTCATTGTGGGTCCTTCTAGTTGCGGCATGTGGGACGCTGCCTCAGTGTGGTTTGATGAGCAGCGCCATGTCCACGCCCAGGATTCAAACCAACGAAACACTGGGCCGCCTGCAGCAGAGAGCGCGAACTTAACCACTGGGCCATGGGGCCAGCCCCTGTCTTCCTCTTCTTTTAAACTCCATCTTCCCTCTCTCACTGTCTTTATCTCTCCCTCATGTAAACCAGCTCTCAGCAGAATCAAATTATATTTCCTTCTTCCCTCCCTCCCTCCCTCTTCTTTCTTTCATTTTACTATGAATATGTGCTATTTATATAGTCATAAATAAAATTAAGTGAAATAATTCTCGAATATCTCTTAAGGAAATGACATGAAGAGGCAGAAAAAATTATCTTTATG